CAATGACCGCCTCAGGCGAGGCGCCTACCTTAGATTTAGTCAACTCGCCGCACGTGTCTGCCAAACAGACCGCGACCTTGGCCCGAAGGAAGGCATTGGGGCTCGACGCGCGCTGAGACATATCATCCACGCAAATGCGCCGACTCAAATAAGCGTGGACGGGAGGAACCTCATTGAGAACAACATGCGCCGTGCACTTGGCGAATCACGTTCCGCCTCGCAATCCCTGCGCACTGGGGTGCTGGACGGGGGGGGGGGGGGGGGGGGCGCATGCAGCGCCGCGCTGTTGCAGCGTCCGTGGGGCGGCGCACTGGGCCACCCCCGGAGACGGCGCAGCGGGCGGATGCTCGGGGCGCGGGGCCGCGTTGCGCAGGACGCCCCATCGGATCGCGTCGCATAAGCCTCGGATGTCCAGCATGCCGCGGGCCGAGGCAATCTTCATGGCGGCTGCGACCGATTCGCCGAGCGTCCGGCAGAAGGCCTCCTGGAGGGAAGCGTTGCCGAGGGCAGCTGCGCCCCCGCCCTCCTCGGCAACGCTGGTCCATTCACGAACGTGCGCCTCCCGCGCTAAAGACCGCGACCTTCCCATGAGGGGCGCGGGGCCGATGGCCCTGTCGCCGTCGGCCTCCTAGGGGTTGAATTTCCCGATGATCCGATGCGTTTGATTTTGCTTCGTGCGAGTGGCCCCGGAATAGTTCAATGCGCCGCGAGCTCGTCGAGCGCCCCGTCGAGCGCGCGTTCGACGTCCAGGGGCGCGAGGCGGTCGGCCCCGAGCCCCGTCTTGGCCCGCGTGCGCCGAGCGGCGGCGCGGACCTCCGACCCTGAGATCGGCTCGGGGGGCTCGTCCCTGGCCTCGCGTCGCCGTTGTGGGTCGCGCGGCCCAGCGTTCCACGCGGCGCCCCACTGGCTGCTTTTGGCGCCCAAGATGCCCCTGGGATGCGCGACCTTCACTTGGCCCATGGCGAACTCCTGCTCGGGCAGCGGGCCCTCGCGGAGCGAGCGGCGCCGCGGGCAGACGGGTCGGTGAGCCACTCCTCGAGCCCTTCGAGGGCCCCCCTGAAGGCGCGTTGCGCTCGTCTCGCACGGCTTGCCGTTTTAAGCCAACGTCGCCCGATCCGTGCAGCTCCGTCGCCGCTCGCCGAGTGCGGCCTCCTCTCCTGCGCGCCTCGCCTCGGCTCGCGGCGTGCTGCCGACTCTCTCTGGCTGGTCGCTGGCGAGGTGCTGGCGCGCCTGCGCGAGTTGAGGCAGTTGATCGCGGCCGTTCCCTCGGTCGCGATGTGACGTGAACTGGCGCAGCGCGGAAGAGACTCGCTGCCGCCGCGGCAATCTCGCCCCGGAAAAGCGCCTCTCTGCGCCGACCTGCGCGCTGGACAGACTCGGCCACGAGGCTGCAGCCCTCTGCCCTGGTCGGGCCCCCAGGAGAAGATCTGACGGGGCGATGCAATATTGTTCGGGCATGGAGACGCGCGGGCCGCCCCGGGAGCTGGCCGACCCCGGGTGCCGAGGCTGAGGTCTGACGGCTCAACCTTCGATTTCAGGGCTTCCGAGCTGAAGGGGCGCCCCCCGGGGGCGTCATCTGGCCGGGGAGGTGGAGCCCTGCAAAAGCACTGCTAGCATGCGAAGGCTTGGCGAACTCGCGCAAAGGACCGACGGGGGCGACCGATGGCTCGCTTTCCATTTCCTGGCAGAAGTTTGCCTCGTGGACTCGCGGGCCCCCCTTCCTCAGGCCATGTGCTGACCACGGTGGCTTCAACACGAAACAGACTGGCGCCGATGTCTGGGGCGGGTGCAGATGCTGAGGCAAAGTCTGGCTGTCTACGTGAACGCCAAAAAGTTGGGCAATCTTTTCCCTGCGCTGAATGCTTGCCTCCTCGGCGTTGGCCATCCTATCGCGTGTGGCAGCAGGAGATTTTAAACCAGGCAAAGCAACTGGGCGCGGGCGAGCCACCTGCGGCAGACGGATGGCACAAACAAGCCTGCGCGTCTGGAGCTGAAGCCCGCTGCTGCGCGTGGGCAGGGAGAAGCCGATGCGCGGCCGCCAGGGGGTGTCAAGCGCCGGCTGAACAAATGATGTCCGGGGTGGCCGCCTCGCTGGCGATCGCGTAGCCCGGCGCGCCCCCCTGCTTGCTGGCGTCGCAGGTGTAGGAGAACCATGGGGGGTGATGATGCGGTCGGGCACCGGATCCAGGAAGCCCGACTTGACCAGGGTTGGTGGCTCCGCGTTCCAGTCTCCCAGGCAGGCCCAAGGTAGACGTAGACCGCGAAGTGGTCCACCGATGCGGCGGAACCTGGCCAGCTTGCGGCCGCGCGGGCCCTGGGCTGTGCAACCGTGGCAGGTGCGCGAAACCATCGAAACATCAGGGCAGTGGATGACCGTCGCGACATAAACGTCGAACGCCGTCGATCCCGAGGCCCGAGGGGCCGCTGTGGACCAAGCCTGGAACAGCGACTCCACGTGCTGGTGCTCCTGGGACAGAACCCTTTTCCCCCCCCTTCGTTGGCCATGCAGGTGGCTGCGGAAGATCGATTTCGGCCGCCGGGCCGAGCGGGGCTCGCAGTGGGCCTGGGCCCATCGCTCCTTGCACGAACGCCCGGCTTGTGCAGCTGCGACTCAGCGATGCGAATCTCTGCGGCCCCTTTGTACTCGTGGCTGGAGGCGACGGCGCCGACGGAGGTCCATGCGGCTCCGCCCGAGGGCGCGGCGCTGCCGAGGAAGACGCGGCCGCGACGCTCGGCAGCTGCAGCGGGAGCTACTGGCGCCTGGTAGCTCAGCGCCCCTTCTCCCATGGGGCGCCCAGCCCCGGGCGCAAGCCGTCAGGCTTTGCCATTGGCGCACTTGGCGCCGTTGGCGCCGCCCTCGCTCGTCGTCGAGGCCTTCCGCCCCTCGGCCTTGGCCGCCGAGCTGCGCGCGGCCTCCTCGGCGATGGCCCGCTACTGCTCGGGGGGCGGCGCGGGGGTTCCCGCCCGCGAAGCCTTTGCGCCACTCTCTGAGCTCGCCGAGCCATGAGAGGTCGGGCTCCCGCCCGCAGGCTCGACAGGAGGGGCGTCCGCCGCGGGCGCAGCGTCGGCAGCTGAGTCGTCGGCGGCACGACGCTTCTTGGCAGCGAGACAGGCGATGCCCTTCATGACCTGGGCAGCCTTGTCCAGCCAAGACTGCGCCTCAATGTTCTTGGACGCGAACAAGGTAGCATCTTCTCCAACTCCGCCTTGATGAGCTGTAGTTGGGCCCGCTCCGTCTCCCGGACGTCCACCTGGTCAAGGTCGTCGAAGAGATTGGCGCCCAAAGAGACCTCGAAAGACGGTTTGGGGCCGTCGTCGGGCGCAGGGTTACTGCTTGCCGCCCTCGCCAGCGCCTGGGCCGCCTGCTTCTTGCCGAGCCCGGCCGATGCCAGCGACATGGACGCGGTGCGCTCCTTGAAGACGGCCCTGCGGCAGCACGCGTTGGCCAGCGCCTGGCCGCGCATGTAATTGCAATCCCTACAGACACTCTCCGCCGTGGACACCATGGCCGCTTCGGATTGGGCGGGCTTCCCCGATGGCGGGGGGTTGCTGGCCAAGGAGTCGATATTGGCCTGGAGGGCCTTCTTCAGCTCGGGATCGCCGGTCGCCGCCATGGCCGCCGCGAGTTGCGAGGAGACCGAGGGCGATGGGGCCGCCACAACCCCGCGTCCCTCCTGCCGCCACGGTGGGGCTGCCGCTGGGTAGTCCTCTTCTTTCTTGGCCTTCCGGGGGACGAAAACCCAAACCCTCTTGTCACAACGGCAAGAATTCAGCTGGTGGCTGAGAATGCCGCTCCGTTCGGCACGATGGCAAGACCCGCAGCGGCTCCAGAGTCGAACTGGGAACATGATAAAGAAAGGTGGATGTGCACCCTGGCTTTCGTTACCGTGAGAATCTGGGGAGAAACGGGGCAAGTTCGGTATGCATCATACGCCACGTGCAGGCACCAGGGACAACCCAATGGAGGTTGGGGCCTAGATGGCTTGAGAAAAAGTGCGAGGAGGAAAAAGAAACGTAGGAGGAGGAATAAGAGGAAGGTAAACGGGAAAACAATTGCTCTTGATGATTTTGTTCGATGTTTTGGGGCCTGTGGCCCCTATCCCCACTCAGCCTCACGATCACCACCCTGGGATGAGAGCGAGGGGAAGGGGTGGGCAAGGGGGCGGGGCGAGAGAATGGAGAGAGAGAGAGAGAGACAAATAACGAGAGAGAGAGAGAGAGAGAGAGATAGAGAGATACATTGAGAGCGCGGGAGGGAGCAAGAGGAGAGAGAGAGAGAGAGGGTAGGACGGGAATGGTGTCATGATAACATTGGTTCAGGAAACGCTCCAAGATTTTCAAATGCATCTACCGGCGCAGAACATCAGGACACTAGGGAAATCCTGGAAACCTTGGAAATCTTGGGGCGTAGCATTATCATCCTCTGGCTCCTCTGAGAGAGAGAGAGAGAGAGAGAGAGAGAGAGAGCGAGAGCGAGAGACAGAGAGAGCGAGAAAGGGGGAGAAAGAGAGAAAGAGATAGAGAGAAACAACACAGAGGGAAAGAGAACGAGAGAAAGAGAGAGAGAGAGAGAGAGAGAGAGAGATGGCGGCTGACGAGCAGGAGCGAGCGATGGAGCCCGCAGGCAGCGTGTGCAGTGCACGCGAGGCAGGCGGCACACAAGCGGCGGGCAGGAGGCACGCAGGGCATACACAACAGGTGGCAGTGCCCTGCGCTGGGGCGTTGCGCGGGTCGCGCGTGCATGCCGAGCGGAAGAGCGCAAGGGGCAGCGCAGCTGCTGTAGTGGCAGGGGGGCCACCTACCAGACCACCCCGACCCAACCCGAAGACCCACATTTCGGGTTTTGGGGGGGGTACGGGTTCCACGCGTGTTGTTTCCATGCTCCCGGACGCCCACCCCACTGGCAATGGAGGGCGAATTGGGGCCCCCGGGTTGGGTTGGGGTGGCTTGGTGGGTGGCGGGAGAAGGGCTGGAGCAGAGCAACCTGCTCCGAGCCGCTCCTGAATAGCAGGTCTCTGGTCCAGGGGGAGAACTCGGCCGGGCGGATGGCGGAATACACAGTCCTTGTGGTCGGGCCACTGTACCCCTCTCGCTGCTCTCCGCTCGCTCCCTCGCAGTGGCACGCACTTCCACATGTTCTGTTGATATTCTGCCAAATTTCCCCCCACTCCGCACAGCCACACCCGATCATTCTCGGGGCTCGGCCTTCCACCTGTTGGAGGGGTGCAGCGCTGGCCCTGCATCTGAGCAGTCCAATGATTATCTATCACACTCGAACCCCAATCCATACGCCGAATCGGTAATGTCTTCTCGCACTGGCAACCACGTGTTTACTCGTCATCCAATCAAAG